GGAACATATGTGCTTAAGGGCAACCTTAACATCTTGTGATTCAAGAAAGACATTTTGTGACATCCTAATGATTATCCTGACAACCCCAAAACCAAACCCACTGCCATCAACTCATTTCTGACTCATAGCAACCCTATAAGACAGAACAGAAATGCCCTTCAGGTTTCCAAGACTGTAAATCCTCTGCGATTTACAAGGAGCAGAAAGCCTTCTCATTATCACAGGAGAGGCTGGTGGATTTAAACTGCTGGACTTGAGTTTGGCAACCCAATATGTAACTCACTAGTCAATAGGGCTCCTAATGACTACCCTGAACCCAAACCAAATTCACTGCCATCAGTCAATACTGTGAGCCACTCTACGTGGTTTTTGAGACTATAACTGCTTATGGGGATAGAAAGCTCAGGCTTCCTCCCACGGAGGTGTTGGTGCTTTTGAACTGCCGATCATGCAGATTGCACGCCAAGGCACAACCACTTCACCGCCAGGGACTCCTCTAAAGACTACCCTGAAGCACCCCCAAAGCACAAATCTTTGTAGTTACGTACTGGCATCAATCCCTGAAACCTATATACCCTTGTACATCAATCCTAGAAAAAGCCCCGCTTGGAGATGTCCCACGTTTGAGTATTCTTCAATCAAAGTATGGTGAACTACAGTTCTGGACTTAGAGCTATAAACACGTATTTGTAGCACTACTTTCTGGGGTTCCTTGGCTTCTCTTCTTGTTTCCCCAGGTGGAATCACATGAAGCCGTAATAAGCTCTTTGCTTTTACTTTCAGGCAGAAGACTAGAGCTTCTTCCTCGTTAACAAAACTAAAGTTATATGAACTTACTGTGAAAACGTTAAGTCGGATCCAGGACACTGCAAGTTTGAGTCCCTGGCTCCAGGGTCCAAAAGGGGCGGCGCCTGCAAGGTAGGTGGGGGCGTGGCTTCCCGGGGGCATGGTCCCGCCCCAAGGCGGAGCGACCGCCGGTGTGAGGCGGGGCGGGGCTCACGGGCCAGGGACATCCCTTTTGGGGCCGCGGCGAGGTCGGCACGTCCCAGAACCTCGGAAGTGGGGTCGCGGACCCGGGCCGGGTGGCCCAGGTCCCTGGACGGCTCTTCGCAGCCGCCATCTTGGCCGCGTCCGGACTCCCACGGCGGG